AGAGCGTCGGAGTAGTTGGAGAAAGTGTAGTTGTTGCCGGAGATGCATTGGACCCACCCCGCCGCCACGAAACCCACCCATTTGCTCCTGCTTCCAGACGTAAACCTTTTGCTCAAACCCATCAATCAAAATCTATTTCTGTTGCTCAACTCCACCACACTTGCCTTCTATTTATAGCAATCTCCGTGTTTTCTTCGTCACGCCCAACTTGCACTGCAATCACTGTGCGGGAACCGCCGATTCTTTTTTTATAATTAAATTAAATAACAGAAAGAAACGTGTGAATTAAAAAGAGCAAAAATTGTACTGGCCCATCATCGTCATTCAGATCGTACCCATTTGGAGTTTTGGACATGATATTTTTGTTGACAAGCAGATTAGGTGGGACGACTTTGGTGGGACCCAACGTTGCCTTGTCCACTTGATACTTCATGGTTCTTACTATTTTGAAAACAAAGCAATGAAGGAAGGAAAGAAACAAACTTTCCTATTATTTGAGACGTCAAATTCAGCACAACCCAGGTTTGATTCCACTTTTATGGAAATATTACTCACCTAATTTTGGGTTTTTTTTTTAATTTTAATTGTGTATTTTTTGCAGCTTATGTATAGTTTATATCAAGAGAAAATAATATAATATATCCTCATATAGAATGGATAAATAAAATTACAATTAACTTTTCAAAAAACAACTCATATTTATTTAACGTATAACTATTTGAATTCAACCTCTCTTTTACTCGTACGCGCTTCTACGAATCTAATTTGCTAAACCTGATTCTGCTAAAAAATAATAGGTAATACAGCATGACCTTGTGGCTGGAACAAATAATCAAACAAATATATTGGAGCATGGGATACTGATCAAACAAAAAATGAAGAAGAAAAAGGAACATCTGGCTCGCTTTAAATAAATTTACCTTAAACAATTTTTTGTATAAAGGGCTAATCAATGTAGGAGCATTTTCTTATTGTTGCATAAATTTATTTTAATACTAAATCCATCTCATATTTTTGTACTAGGCAGTGGAGTTCATGTCCTACATTCTCTAGTTAATTTTTTTGTGTTTTGTTTTCTGTTTGTTTGTTTGTTTATTCATCACACTACCAAAAAAAAAAATCTATCTCATATTCAAAATTAAAATATACATTATCAAAGTATTGGAAAAAATTCAAGTCTTCAGTCAACTAAAAAAAAGGCAATTAAAGAATATATAAGTAAAAATTAACCCTCACCTTATAAGCTGGCTTTGTAGGTTGAGTTAGGCTTAAATTCACTATTCTAAAATGGTATCAGAACTATCATAAATCCTTAAAATGAACTATCTATCCTAGATCATGCAAAAGAGTCCATCACCATTTATCAACGTACAAAACCTAATAAAAATCCATCGACTAGAGAAAAGGCAATCAAAGAATGTATAAATGAAAAACAACTCTCATCTTACAAGTCAATTTTATATAGTTGATTTAAACTTAAATCATTCTAAGACAATAAAATATTTATAAAAAAAAAAAAAAAACTTCTACTCTATTATAAATTATATTTATTGGTCAAAAAATATTTACTATATTTTTCCACTAGCTAGCTATTAAATTGGGTTTCTGATTAATAATAAAAATAAATGTCCCATAAAAAATGTGCTGAAAAAACTCATTAATAAAACTTCTACTCTGTTAGTATAATTTTATTTATTAATTTTATTTGTTTTTGTGTAGGACAATAATATTTAAACTTAAAGAATTTATATAAGTTATTTTAAGCCTCCATCCCTTTATATGCCTGTCGTAATTCGTTGTGGGATATATTTTGCATTTGTTAATAACTTGTTCTTCTCAACCACATGAATATGGTATGATTATCAATCTACTTTTTTTTACAAGGAAATTATCAACATAACGTACTGTATATATCGGGAAAAAGATAAAAATAAAATAGATCTTATTCATATACTAATTGTGGTGTACCTTCTCTGTACGCATTACATAAGTATAATCTATTGTTTTTCTCCTCCTTGAAAAATGTTGAAACTTGAGAATTCGGTAATGGGAAACGGATGTTGTTCTGACTTCTAAGGGTCAACAATATTAATGGGAGTAATTGCTTAAAAGTGGTGCAGAAATTGCTTGAGAAAATAAGAGATTTTTTTTTTTACTACTACTTTTAATGGAAAAGATAAAGGGAAGAGAAAGAGGTCTTCCCCAGCTGGAAACAAACATGATCAGAGACGCCACGTTTCGTTGCGTGTCCCCTCTTATTTTGGAAATTCAGGTTCTCCATAGCTTAGTTCGATCCATACACCAAAATTGAAGACAGAAAATTTCATATTTGAAGCAAGGGCTATGTGACAAAAGCAGTTTCAAACTTGTTAAATATTTATTCTATTGTAAGTTTGTAACAAAGTTCTTCCTTCAAAAAACGGAAACCAAAGATCGCTCCGGTTGAGTGGTTGTTGAATTATATATTATCAATGTCTTTTCATTCAAATGGGAATTTAATTACTACTATTGAAGAAGCGATGTGCAACTTCACATTTATTTATGAAGCCGTGTGTCTATCGATGAAGGGTCACATTTTTTGAAAAGAAAAGGGCAAGTTGATTAGTGGACTTCGTTTTGAGTACAACATGTCAAGACAATTGATGGGGTCCTTTCTTTTTAAATAATGCATGCAAACTCAGTTGAATTTTAGAAAATAAAAAACGTATTTATTAATTTAGAAAAATATATTTTAAGTTTAATAATTTAATGTACATCTATTTTGGAAAATAAATATAATATATAATGTAATCATCCTTCATTTAACACGTGTACTTCGTCGTGTTGCTTCATCCTTTAATTATTTAAAAAAAAATGGCGTACAAGTCACCTAAAATTTTCAGTGAAAACGACAAGCTACGCGGAATATTTATGTATTTAAACATAACCTAGGATTACATGCATCCGTTGTAGTCTAGTTGGTTAGGATACTCGGCTCTCACCCGAGAGACCCGGGTTCAAGTCCCGGCAACGGAATATTTTTTAATTCTTCTAGGTGAAGAAAAGAAAATTAACGGCCTTTAGAATTTACATGACGGCTAAAGCAAGGTGGCTCCTACCCTCCACAAAGGAATCATTTTATGATTGTAAGTTTTGTAACACGTGATTTTATATGTTTGTTTATTTTTAATATTTGTGATCAAATTATAATGATGCTATTGAAAGGAAAAAAAAAAAAAAAAAGCTGTTATGACAATATCAATTTCAAATGAGATTTAATTTTTTGAGATTGGAAAATATATAAAATAATAATTAAAGTTATATTTATAATGAAGTGATAGGTCACTATATTTAGTACAATATAACATATTCAACAAAAAAATAAAAAAAATATCTATCATGCAATAACATCTAAATATTTATGCAAAAAAAGAAAAATAAAATAATTTCTATAATTTTTTACTTGAAAATATAGATCTCCATATTAGGGTTACAACAAAATATTATACATATATATTAATATACATCTAATATAAAATATTGAAAATACAAAATTTTAATATTGGTTAAAACATGTTGTATTATAATAATCTATGTTACACAAGCATAGTAAGAGATTGTCATGTTTTCAAGTCTGATAATTATTTTGGACAAGCATGTCATAAATATGTCTTGAACGCTTCAACAGACTATATCTCACACAAATTTAATACTTCTTTATTATGGACAATTACAAAATTAACGTATTTTTATTACAAACACTTACAAATGAATGTATTTTCATCTCGGCACATATGACTCAACAATTAACACACGGATTCGAGATGATTTAATTTTTTTAAAGAATAAATCTCTATAATAAAAAAATAAAAAAGAAAAGATTTGAGATTTTTTTTTAAAAAAGTAATTATTTTTTACACTATGTGAGTTGAAATCTAATTATTTTTTACTTAACGTAAGTTAACTCTTCTTGTATATGGGATAGTTTAATTTGTGAAAGGGAAAGAAAAAAGAAAAAAAGAGAACAGCTGTCGTGCGTACGGATAGGACGTAAAATAAAAGTAGGCACATGCCGTGTCTGCTACAGCTAGCACGTGATAAAGTGTGTCTGCTTGTGGGCCATAAGCCCATAAGCAATTGAATATAGTTGTTGATAAGATAAGATGTTCCGCCTATAAATCATGATACAACTCACCCTTAATTTTCTGCCTCTAAATATGGATTGAAGTATAAATAACTGAGACCTAAAGAAAAGCAAAGTAATTAAAAAAATTAAATGAGTGCAAATTCATAATTATCTTATCAATAATATATATATATATATATATATATATATATATATATATGATAATCTGATTTAATATATATATATAATAATTAATATTAAAAATTAATTATTTTTATAAACAAAATTTGAATTAAATCTTAAAATTTAAAAATCAAATATCAATTAATCTAGTAAATATTAATAATTTTTAAATATTATTATTAAATAAAATATAAAAATATGAAATACCTCAAACTTATTAATAATAGTAATAATTATATTATTATGGGTTTTTTATATCCCGCAAAGTAAAAAAAAGTAAGAAAATTCTGAAATCGGGATAAAAAGGGCAACATCTTTTTTATCTTATATCAATACTCAAGCGCCAATGTTAAAGTTAAGAAAATTCCTTGTACGATACACGTTATATACACCCTTTCACATATCATACATTTGTGTTGATCATCTTATCAACACTCGTATCAGATGCCACTGTTAAGGATAAGAACAACGTCTCATCACACACACACACATGTATATATATAATAAAAATTATACTGTCCAAAAATATAAGATAATCCACAAACCGCTAATCCTGTAGGTAACTAATTTCTTAATGATTTATCACTTATTCCATTGATATAAAATAAGAGATATAAGATGTATATGAGTTAATTTTATATTTTCAATCTCAAATTTATCAATCATTGGTTAACTTAATTATCATAATCTATTTTCTAGGTATTTAACCATTTTTTCCTTAGAAAATTTCGAGAAAAAAATTGGAATCAAAGAAAATAAAAAATAAAGAATAAATATAAAAAACACTATCTTAAAAAAAAAAAAATAGATTCACATACTCAAAACTTATTAAATAGTAGTAAAAATATTTTGACCTCCACGGCTCCACCATTCCCCTGAAATGAAACTTTTCTTGACTATACAATTATAGAATCGGAAGAATTATCCCTCTTATTACTATTCATTATGCATGCTTACTCCCATTTGTTGTTTTTTTAAAAATTGAATCTTAATTACAAAATTAGGGATTATGAATTTTGTAACTGAGCATGACTTTTTTAGGTTTCTAATCAAGGACTATATATTTTGATTTGTAATTACTATTTTCTTTAATATAAAGAATTAAATTTGGTGTGGATTAATGAGAATATCAATTAATATCCTTATTATTAAAGAAATTAAGAATTATTGGATATTAATTGCATAAAGAATTAGTGATTGAAGCCAAAAGTCATTGCTAATTATTTCGCTCCCTGCACTTGGATTGCTCTCATTTATACAAGTTTATATCTTTTCATGGACAGCATATTCGCAGCTGCCAAAGTGCATGTTTAATCCTTCTTTTACCTTTTTAAAAAGATTAAGATGATTTGTTGTGGATAATGTGCAGACAATTTTTTTTAATTGATTAATTTCTTTTACATCAATTAAAAAATATTTTAAAAAAACACTATTATTTCATAATATTTTTGCGTATTAAATTAACGTTGTCAAGAATATACCATCATTTTTTTTTACAATTTCGATTACTTTTTTAAAGAACAATGAGTTTCTCAAGTACTGAGCATAGTTTTAAAAATCGGACCGGTCATCGAACCGGTTAAGGTACTGGGTCAGTGGGTCAAAAGTTGAACCGGTGGGTCACTAGTTGAACCGCATGACTTGATTTTTATTTATTTTTATTAAAAAGTATTCATATTAAATATATTTTATACTTATAAATTTTAATAAATTCATATCTTATTTTAAATTTCAATTTTTCTATCTTATTTAAAATTATTTTTATTTTTATTTTGTAAAAAAATACATAAAAAAATTACATGTTAAACGGTATATTAATACAAATTAAAAATATAAATAATATGTACATATATAATATGCTTGCAATTAATATCAGAAAATAATATATGTAATATTTACATAGATATTGCATTATTAAATATATAATTTAAAATTAATAATATACTATAAAAGTTATTTAAGTTGTATATATTGCAAACAAATATATTAGAACAAGTAGTCATTGTTATATTTAACAAGACTCCTTGTTTTTTTTTTTAAGAGATTCAATTTTCATTATTATTTTTGTGATTTATGGTCCCTTAAAAAAATGTAAATAAAAAAAAGTGGTTAAACCGGTTTGACTCACCGGTTCATCGGTTGAACCAGAAAATTGACCGGTTCAATCTGATTTGAAACGGGTCGACTGCATAACCGATCCAACTTCAGATTCGGACCGGTTGGACCACCGGTTCCCTGTCCAACCGGTCTGACCGGCCGGGACGGTCCGGGTTTTAAAACACTGGTACTAAGCTTGTTGCTGACATATTCATTGTTGTTGGCTCATTGCTGCATAATGCAGGCGTGGCAGTGACAAGACCATTGAACCACTTCCGTACGGCCCTTAATGACTTAATTATATATATATATACATATACACACACGAAGTGAGGATAAATAATACTAATATAATTTTTACTAAATATTACATCGTTTAATAATTTTATATTAAATATAAATTTTATAAATTTGATTCTTAAATTAAAATTTTTTTATTCTTAAATTATATATAAATATTTTTATATTAATTTAAAATAATTTTATACTTTATTTTTATAAAATAAAATAAATATAATATATTTATTTTAAAATATATTAAAATTTTTCCCGAGTTTCACCGTCTCATTCTTCTCCTCCTCTTTTTCCCTTTAGCATGTTGCGCATATACACCATTTGCCTCCAGGTGCTCTCAGTCTAAACCCAAGAAGCCCAAGACAAAAACCTCCATTAGTAATGCTCCACCTTCGCGCAATGATGTTGCAACCATTACAATGTATAAAAAACCCCTAATGGTGAACTGGGTCGCTTAGACCAAAAATGCTTTGCAATGCCTACGAGGTCCATTTCAAGTCGAGTTGCATCTTGCTCTAATACACTCATGCTTGTAACCCAACATTTTCAAGCGAATTATATTCAAACCACTATCATAAAGTGTTTGAGATGTGACGAAAGAAGAAGACAGTGATTGTGGTTAAGACTATGTTTTTTTTTTTTTTATTTTTTTTTTTTTTTTTTTTTTTATAATTAATTTAGTTAAAGAAAAGAGAATATATAAGAGATGAGATTATAATATTTTTTCAATTTTTAAGAGATCTAATGAGTGTGAGTATAATTTGTTTTAAAAAAATAGTGTTCTACTTACAAATAATAGTCATAATTTTTATTTTCTAACTTTCTATTTTTTTTTCCTTATAGTCTATCATTATAAAGATAAAAAAGTAAAATTTATATAATTAAAAAGTTGCAGTAATTAAAATAAAATAATTGTAATTATAAAACAATCGAGAAAAAAAAAGTAAGTAACACTAAATTTTTACGAGCATCATTTTGGCAATAAAAATTACCAACAAACCTTATAAACGGCACGATCCTCTTGTCTTACTTGGTTAGTCGTAATTTTCATTTCTATTCCATTCTTCAAATTAAATTAATTAATAAAGTTTTATTTCTTTGTGGTTGGCACTGTGCACCGCCCTCTGTTGTGCGAGCTCCAACAATCTTCAGCTTCAGCTATTCTGCACTGACAAAGTGCCCACATTTTTCAACGTTTCGTTTAGGTCGGTGACTAACCCAGTAAGCTATCTACCATGGAGGATCAGAAAGTTTCGATTTTTCCTTAATTGGGTATAACTGCGCGAAGAGGGTAGTGAAGCAATGCGTAGAGCGATCGCGTTTCTCGTTCACCCACGATTCCTCCTTCTCTTCCTTGTTCTCTCAATTTTCCTCATTTTCACATTTTCTGGCTCTACTACTCCTAAACAGGTATGCCCTTTAACCCTTTCTCTTTACGATGTTGTCATTGTGGATCTGATTTGGGTAATTGGATCGGGTTTCGTGCAAAATGTGTGTACTACTGTGAATTCCGTAGGGTTTTTGGTTTGAGTTTGTTTCCACTGATCTGAAAATTCCATTCCGATCGTTTGGCGCGTGGTTCCTTTCAATACTTCATTTTCACTTTCTGTTTCTGCTAGAATGAAATTAAAACGAGTTTTTGTATTTTTAATTTTGCTTACATCATCTGTAATGTTACCCTTAGAAAGTATGCCTTATATAACTAAACTATTTCACGTAATTTAATGGTATTGTTTTCGGATGCATTTTAAGTTTGCCATTGTAGTTATTCTTACTTAGTTGGCTGTTGTCTGTGCAATCAAATTTGATTACTGATGAACCTCTCATGGCTCAATTCTGTAGATTGCGCTGTATCTGTGTAGCATGCCTATGCATTATAATCCATTCCTTTTTTTTATATATATATTTTTTTAAATTTATTTATCATTTATTGAAGTAAGTTGCTTAAGTTCCTTTTCGGGTGGGTTGCTGTATGCAGCACTAGAAGGATTATGAAACTAGGTTATGGATTCAAACTTCCTGCTGTAGACTAGCATAAAAATTAAGCAGCATTTAGTGCTCATAGAAGGCTGTTATCGAATAGAATTATGAAAGAATTTGATGAAGACAAGGGAACTAGGTTAGGAAAGCCTATGGGGAGAAGGACGTGACATTAATGGAAAATGGTATTTTTATGAGAAAGGCAATAAGGTAAACAATTGTAGTCCCAGGGTAAGCCATACCACCAGAGTTAACTTTATCCTTTGATTTTAGTTTGAGTCTTTTGCTGAAATCAACCATCATTTTTTCTGTTAAAAATTTCTCTTTCCCAGCTTATTATGAGCATTCCCTGCTTTTTGGAGTGTTACCCTTATCTATATTTGAAACAATTTGCTGTTATGGTTTGTATCATTAAGATAGAAACTTGTTTCTATGGTTGTGGCGGTAGCTCTCTATCTGGTACAAGTTCATTGTTTAAAGTTATATGAGCCACACTCTGAACATGTATATTCATCCACTATATTATGTGTGGACCTGTATTCAGAGCACTATTTATAACAATCAATACTTATAAACATTGAACAATGACTCTTGTGTATCATTTGATTGAAAATATGATTGTGGTGTTAGAATATTTGGAAAATATCTTTAATATCTAAAATTATCTTAGGATTATTTTGTTGTCTTGGAGTATCTTAGATTATCCTTTAGAATTAGTTTCTTATCCTAGAATATCCCCTGGGATTAGTTTTCATATTTCTTAGTAATTATCATGATTTGTTGACTTATTTAAGTACAATTAGGAGTCTTTTAATTATTACAAATAAAGGTTAGTGTCTTAGTCTTTTGAATAAGATCATTGTATCAAATTTTATTCATAATTCAAGATTGTTATATTTGTCTCTTCTCTCCTTTCTCTCTAAAACCTTATAAATTCAACATGCTAGGACTTGTTCATCATTATTCTGCTATTTAGTTCCTACTTGGAACTCTATTGTAACGATGTCTTTCTTTCCCAATCCTTCTCTTAGTTCCTTGCTATTTTGTTGTTTGCCACATCAACAATGACTCCTAACATCAATATTCTTCAATAGTGTTCGATCTCCACTGTGTGCATTTACTAGTTTGTTTCATCTATTCTATCGTGCATTTTATTGGCATGTTCAGTCTTCTTAGAATTTGGGCTTTTAGGGCATAACTTAATGCCTCAAAACTGACTTTTTAGGTGAGGGCTATCCAAACCTTATAAGGATTTTGTTGTATCTCTAGTCAATGTGGGATCTCAACACATCTCCTCGTGCCTAGAATTAACATCTAGAGCGTGGACAAATGCGGGTGGCCATTGCCTATAACAACACCGTTTACTCATGTCTAGGAATAGACATCTTGAGTTAATTTTTTTTTAATGTTCTATATATAGAATTAGAATAAGACATGTGACTCAATGAGAACAATATTAACTCTAAAAATGATCGTATTTAAGGATAACTCGCAAAATGTATAAATTATCTTGTTTAGAAATAATTCCTAAAAATGATCTTATTCAAGATGATGATTTAGATTTATAATGTAAGAGTAGAATCAGTAGATTAGGAATCTATTAATTAGTATAAATAAGTGTTGGTGCCTTAGTCTTTTGAATAAGATCATTGTATCAAATCATATTCATTATTCAAGTTTATTTCCTTTTTCTCTTCTCACCTTTTTTTCTAAAACCTTGTAATTTCAACATTAGGTCACGTGTAAATTTTTTGTACTTACAATTTCCATCTTAGCTGATAAAATTCCTCCTTTTCTGATGTAGGTTGTTGAGGAGGAAACAGAAGAGGAGCCTGAAATTACACACAGAGTATTCTTGGATATTGATGTTGATAAACAACGTTTAGGTTGTCCAGCAATATTTTTAAAAATTTCATTCACAAAATGCTTTTGTTACAAAGAGGATGTAGAAAGCTTAATCAGCATAAAAAATGCTATTTTTTTTCTTTCCTATTTGCTATTTACCTATGCAACAACTTCTGCAGGTAGGATAGTGATTGGATTATATGGCCAAGTTGTACCAAAAACTGTGGGTATGTCATTATTCTTCTGCAAGTTCTTTTGTCTGCAAATTAATTGCTTTAAAGATTATAAATTTTCATTTTGCATGAACCAAGGGTCAGTTTCTTAAGTAGAAAATGTAATGTTTGTGGGGGTATTGAATTTCTTTAACCCTTTTGTACAGGATTTCTAGATGTTAGCTATGTCCGCAAGGCTTAAATATATTTCCAATCCTTATCATATACATGCTTTATAGTTTTAGTCTCTATAAAATTTTTCTTATGGTTGTGGTTCCTATAAAAAATTAATTTACATTTTTAGTCCCTTGTCACTATTTACAAAATGATGTGGCTACCATCTATTGGAGAACAAACTTAATGTTTCATAAGGACTAAAAACATCATTAAGGACTAAAATTGTAAAATAAAATTTTATAGGAGCAAACCATAAGAGTTTTTTTTTAAGGAATAAAAGCATAAAACAAGAATATTACAGGATTAGAAACATATTTAAGCGTTTTTGTAAATTTAAACTTAAATGAGCTTGATAAAGCCTTCCCGTTGGATATTTATGCTATTTACATACGGTGATGCTTATACATACTTGATACTTTATAACATTGCAATTTCTAATGACTGAATTTTCTGCCTGCAGAAAATTTTAGAGCTTTGTGTACAGGTAGCTGTGGTCTCTTCTTCATTTTGTTTATTAATTTAATCCCCATTGGTCCTTGCACTGATTTAGAGTGTTCCATATTGTGTAGGGGAGAAAGGCAAGAATGCAAATGGCTTAAAGCTCCATTACAAAGGAACACCATTTCATCGGATAATATCTGGTTTCGTGATTCAGGGTGGAGACATTGTTCATCATGATGGCAAAGCGTCTGAATCTATTTATGGTGGTACCTTTCCTGACGAGAATTTCAAGATTAAACATTCTCATGCTGGTGTGTAACAATTTGCTTGATGCAAGCGTTTCATTTTGTTATTTTACTTTTATACTTTGAAGTTTTTCTGTCATTTCTATGATATTTGTTGGAGTTGTTTGTATGAAATCTTACTACTCCCATGATTGCAGGCGTTGTCTCTATGGCAAATTCAGGACCTGATTCCAATGGCTCACAGTTTTTCATTACCACAGTGAAGGCCAGTTGGTAAGTTATTTTTTTGTCCAGATAGTGCATGGTTTGGACAACTTCTCGACTGTGGATCATTAAAATTAAAAGTTAGCTACTTAAAAAAGTCATGTGCATTTATCTTTTAATCTCATTCATTCAAATATGATCTAATGATCCAACTTTGTAGTTCTCATTTCGCACAATGACAAGAATCCTCACTTAATATACTCCCTATATGTAAGATAGATAGACAGTGCCTTTGAATTTGTTTTTGTAAATCATTGTGTCTTCATTACTAGTTAATACTTGTTAGTTATGATATCAATTTACATGTAAACTTTCAAGGTTGGATGGAGAGCATGTTGTCTTTGGCAAGGTTGTTCAGGGCATGGATATTGTGTATGTAATTGAAGGGGGTGCCGGAACCTACAGTGGAAAACCCAGAAAGAAGGTAGTGATAGCAGACTCTGGGGAGATACCCAAGATCCACTGGGACGAGGAAATTTGAACTTCTCCTTTTGGTGACCCACCACTAGCAATAGCATGCTTGGATTATAGTTTGGCAAAACTACGATTATTGATTTGATTGGGTTGTCTGGTCTTGATGCTAGATCTAAAATCATGATTTCATTGCAAGTTAGAAACGTAGTCAGATTCAGATCTGGCTTACAAAATATGATCTAAACATGCTGACTTGACTTAAAAATTAATTGCTAGATTGCTATTAAGATGATACTGAATTCCAGTTTCTTTTATACATGACAATCTTAGGAACATAGTTTAAGTATCAAAAAAAAAAAAAAACTTAGGAACATATTTGGTATTTTTAATACGTTTTATATCGTTGTTTGTTGTATCTTTTTTAATCATTTGTGTATCTATGTTTCACACTTTATATTAACATAGCCCTTTTGCTGTAGAGCAAGGGAAAGAAATTATGTTGTCTTGTTTCTGTTGATTCTTCTATGCGCAAAATTATTCTGCTGCCTAAGGTCATTTCTGTAGTTATATACACATAAAAATAATTATTATATTATTCTTACAACATTTTTTCCAGTACTTTTTATATGCTAATTTTATATTATATTATATTATGAGAAGGGATCAAACGATACCGATGTAACTTTTATTAAGTATTAAATCGCTTAATAACTTTATATTAAATATGAATTTTATAAATCTAATTATTAGATTAAAAGTTCATATCTCTTAGATCATATATACAAAATTTTATATTAATCTAAGATAATTTGGTACTTCATTTTTATAAAACAAAATTAAAGTAATATATACACTTCAAAATATATTAAAATATATAAACTTTGATTACCTTCAAGTTATTATTCAATTTTAACAAAATTTAATATACACATATAAAATAATATGAATTTTCAATCTAACGGTTGAATTTATAAAATTCATAATTAATATAAAGTTATTAAGTGATGTAATATTTAATAATACTACTAAAATCTATGTTAAAATTTGTGGATGATTAAGATTTAAGCCGTTCATCAGAATCATATTAAACGTAATTTAGAAAAGTTGGATTTATTAATTAAAGCAATGCAAGCCAACAAATGATTTGTATTATTGGAGGCATGATATCAGACAACAATATACGAGAGAGCCACAGCCACATGTTTCTGCTATTGTTTATATATTACTACTCCTTTGGTAAGCAGTGAACTTATTACGAAAAATACAGATCTGAACATAATCTCTCACTCATTTTTTATTATTAATATTATCACTTATAATCATCCTAAAGAAAAGTCTGATTTTATTTTTGTAGCTGTTGTGTTGTTTACCAAATGAGGCTGAAGTAAAAAGCCAGATTGGATCCACTGAATTTCAAGGTACTTTTGTCGTTACGCATAATAAAAACAAGAAACCATGTGGTTTATGTGATTCGTGCTTTGCCTTGCTCTGTCTCATGTTGGATTGGGCTTGGCCGGTTTCAATCTTCTTCTCCCAATGTCTCAACAGTAGCCCTCACCCACAATAAAAAATTGGCAAAAGCAATGTTCAGCCACAATAACTAAAATAATGTGAGACATAGAGCATCTTAATAATCGTATAAGAGAATATCCGAACTAATACCTTTTAATATGTCTAACCTTTATTTATTTATTTATGTATTTTTTTAAGGTAGAGATATGTGTAACCTAATATCTCGCAAGTTAAAAAATCCGTCTGAATTAAATTGATTTGCTCCATGGGATACGATAGATGAAGGGAGAGTGAGGGTGTGGTAGGCATGAGCATTGAGCAAAGAGAAGATTAGCATTGTGTGTAAGATGGGAAGTAGAGAGGATCCGAATCCCATAAGCAACGAGTCGTCAGCAACAGCAACAGCAACAGCAACAGCAACAGAACCCTTTCTATCATCTTCTACGGCAGTGGAAGAAGAATCGGAGTCAAACCAGCAATACCTTCACATCACTTACAATTCAGGCCCTCGCTCCTTCAAGGACCTTCCTTTCCTCATCCTCTTCCTCCTCTTCCTCCTCTCCACCTTCGCCTTCGGCATCTTCGCAATCGTCCACCGCAACACCGCCTCCTCCTGCGTAAACCCTTCCTCCACTCCCCTCTCCCTCTCCCTCTCCCTCTCCCTCCGCTCCTTCCCTCACTGGGCCAAGGCCCTCACATGGACGCTCCTCATCACTTTCCTCCTCAGCCTCCCCCTTTGCTGGGCGCTGCTCCTCTCTCTCAACCATTACACCAAACACATTGTCTACGCTTCGCTCCCCTTCTTCATTCTCATCCCCATCTTCCTCAACGTCTACTGGTTCGTCGCCTGCACCCTCCGCTCCTCCTGCACCCACGCCTTCCCCCTCGCCTACCGGATTCTCCTCATGCTCTTCGTCTTCTTGCTTATTGGGATCATCGTCTGGATCTTGGTCGTCAATTGGCACCGCCTCGAGCTCACTGTCAGCATAATTGGGGTCGCTTCTAACGCGCTTTCCAGGAATTTTACCCTCTTCGGGGTGCTTCCTTCTATGACCATTGGCCTGCTGCTGTATTATGTGCCAATCATCCTTTTCATGGTCTTTGCCAAGTTTAATGGGAAGCTTGTGGTGAAGGAATTGGAGGGTCAATATGATTGTGTTTGGAAGGAGGATTCCTGGGTCCCTGCTTATTTTGCGTTGGCTATTCTCACCATGTTGTGGTCTGCGGCTGCTATGGTTGAAGCTCAGGTTTATGTCATTAGTGGGACTATTGCTAATTGGTACTTCTCCAAGGATTATCAAGCTCCTAAGCGGAGTATTCGAACTTCTCTTAGGTTAACTCTCTCTCTTTTGTCTTCCTTGTCATCATTGTTAGTGTTGTTACCTTACATTGGTTTGCTTGCTTCTATCATGTTGCATTCAGAAGACTCCATTTTTAGATTTGTTAGTTCGACTTCAATTATTTGCTTTGGTTTAATTTTAGTGTATCCTTGGTTTTACATGATTGTGTTAAGTACAGCAGTGCTAAACCACTGTTTTTTTTTTTTTTTTTTTATCTGTAGAAAATATTACTACGAGGGCAACAAGGTTTAAGCTTAAGACTCTCTGCTTATTATCCAAAACGCCCGTCACTAGACCGACTTTAGTAGTTCAATTTGAGATGTTTTATTTGATTCCCTTTTCAATTAGTATTTAAGTTAATGACTTTTGTTGGTTCCTATAAAATTTCTTAGTTCACGACTGCTGTTACCTGTGGTGTGTATTGTAGCTTCCAAATATAGTATTGTAGTTCCCCGTAGTGTACTCCTTGATTGGCTGATAGGAGAAATCTTCGACTGTTTTGAATGATTGCTTTTCATTTAGAAAGATATTAACCATGAGAATTTGGCTTGCAGAAATGCTTTTGGTCCTTCTTCTGGCACGATATGTTTGTCGGGATTACTTATCTGTGTTGTTCGAATGGTGCGTTCTGCGGTTGATAGTGCAAGACAAGAGGATACTCCTGGGATAGTGAACCTTGTGTTACGGTGCTGCGTAAATGCCTTACTGACAGCAGTTGATTTTCTCAACAAGTTTACTATAAACTTTGCTGCAATAACTGGTGAAGCTTACTGCTCTTCTGCAAGGATGACATATGAACTTCTAAGACGTAATCTTCTCTCTGCTGTTTTCGTGGAGACCATCTCATCTCGCCTCCTGGCTGGAATTGTCTTTGTCCTCTCTGCAATATACACAATTGTGGTACGTGATGTTAGTATTACTATTTTTAATTCTTGTGCTCTGCATTAGAGATTTGTTGTGATGTGTTAGTTCTTAGTGTAGGCAAATCCTCTCTTAACGTGAAATCATTTGTATAGTGACAAAAGTTTGGTTGTGGTATAAAAAATGAATTTAATTAGAATGTGCCAACAGTAAATATATTTAAACTGTCATCCTGTCACAGATTGTCTTACATGATAAGTTTTTTTTTTTATTTTATACTTTTATAATAACTATTTTAAAAGTCATATTTTGAATGATTTTTGATCAGTTAACAATATACAAATCTTTAGACTTACAGTAAATGAAAAATTAAACTCATAAAAAATTATAAAAGCAGAAACTTTTAACCATGATAAATGTACCGCTCATGTAAACTAATAAAGTAGTGAGTAGAATATTGTTCTCATGAGGATTGTGATAAGTTCCACTGACTACTGATTTAAACTAAATGGGTAAGCAATTGATTGAGATAGAAATAATTGAAGACAGAATTATAGCAGCATTTAGAAAAATGCATGAATAAAAGCGACTGGGGTTCAAATCCCTTTCCTTGACTCCCTATGCAACTTAATTCAATCCAATACAAGTTGAATCGTGAAATTGTAGTTTGAATCTACAAAAGTTGATAAAGCTCAATCCCTTGACACACCCAAAGGCCCCAAACTTATGGCAAATAATTTAAATTCTGGTCTACGTCACTCCAATTTTCCCATTGCCATGCAAAACTAAGATGCATTTCTATAGCAAAAAACTAAAGAAACGTCAAGAGTACAGAGCAAAATGCACAAATTATATGGAATAAACATAGATAAACAAATTCATGTTACATAAAGATTCAATTTAAGTTCAATAAACTTATTTAGCCTGGAGAGGTTTAGTTACAGATAGAAAACAGAACAGAAAAACAAGAAAATAGAAGGGATAGGATAAAATGCAATGCTGTTGCTCGACTATTTCCCTCCAAGAATGTTTGAGATCTCTTTGATCTTTTATTCCCTAGTGTGCCTCCTGTGCAAAAAATCCTTCTTGACTTGCAATGTTCAGTGCTTACTGCCTAGTGTTGGTGCTGACTATAAATTCTTGAGTCTGACACTTGGTGCTGACTTTCTGGAGTTGGGTGTTCCAAAGTAGTATTTCGTTGTCATTTCAGTGTCCGGTGCTTTAGAGGAAACACGTAACACTGATTTCATTGACCTTCAACACTTGATTTAATCGCTGCCGATCTTGTGCTCAATGCTAGGTTAATTTGTAGGAAATTTTTGTAAAAAAAATTAAAAACACGCAATTAGCTTCTGAAAATAGAAATACTCAAATTTCAATTTAGAGCAAAAACGTAAATAGGAGAAGCTAAATTCTAGGTTAATAATCAAAATATGAATGCTCTATGCTAGGTTAATAATAAGGCCTAGAATAAGTTATAAATATATATTAATTGTGATTTACAATATAGCTCTCTCTTGTGGTTGTAACCGGTAGATGTTGACCATTTGTTTGACAAGTTGCAAGTTATGAAGTTTCCGTCCATTAATATCTCTACATTTTCACTTGGCCTTTCTTGGTATTTGTTTTGAGGTTAGGAGGTTGTAGGGGGATTTAAGTCAGCTGAAACTTCATTTTCTTATAAAACTCCAGACTCCGGGCAAATAATGTCATGAAAATAATATGAACAGTTTTGTCCGAGGCAACTATTGTTAGACTTTTGGGGATAAAAAATGGACAAAACTTACATATAGTTCCTTGAGTACTTTTGGTATTGCTTTCCAATTAAAATCTAAGTTCACATTGGTAATCTATGTAAACATTTATCAAACCTTTATTACACCAATTGCTAAGGGAAACTCTAATTCTAATTAGAATGCAATGCTTAGAGTACATAAAGAACTATAAGTTTTGTTCAAAAAAATATGCGTGTTATTTTTGATGGAGCTGGTTATTCTGCTTATTAAACATGGTTACTAGTTTGTTTTTCTGTTTTCATTATTTTCTGCTTCTTCCATTAAAGTTTGTCTTAATTGTTTATGTATAACCAGGTCTGTGCTATCTTAAAAGCTGGTACCAATCTGGGGGCTGATTCATATTTTGTGGCTGCAATGGCATGGGTGCTACTGATAGTAGTGCTGGGTTACTTCGTGCATGTGCTAGACAATGTGATCGACACAATTTATGTCTGCTATGCGATAGACCGGGATAGAGGAGAGGTTTGTAAACATGACGTCCATGAGGTTTACGTTCACCTACCCATAAGTAGAAGTCTCAGACAGTCTGTTCCTACAAGAACTCTAGGTGTGTAAATAATTCTTCTGATACAAATGTTTTTGAATCCTGGGATTGGTATTTTATGGACAGTTTGGAGTTAGAATTCTCTGTGACTGACTTGTGAGCCTATTGTGCATACTCCTGAATGTTTCTTATATAAATTTTTGTTTTCTAATTTTTTCTAAGAGTAATTTTTAGTTAATCTGAAAGTTGACTTCAGTTTTGTCGTGTAACCTTAATCATGTATATTTTGTTTGGGAGAAAGAGGACAAGTTTACACTGTTAATCAGAAAGATTTGTTGGAGAACTTAGCAAATACTATATTACTTCTGTAATGCTTTCATTCTCATTTGTTTGGTGCATTAATTTGCCCTTGATCTAATAATATTGCTGTAGTCATGAAGCCGTGCAAAACTGTAAAAGCTACAATTCCAAGTATCTATCTGTTTTTTCTTCCTTTCTAAGAAATACTTGTATGATTTATACAAGTACAAATGGGCTGGGCTCAGCCAAGTCAACGAGTCCTTGTGCGTTTTGAAAATGATTCTGGTTTTTGGATAAAAAAGAACGATATTGTATCTGTTTCCTCCAGCGACATTTTAAAATGATTCGGAACGGCCTAGTATATTTCTCGGGCCTAATATTTGGGTCATTTATTTTAGTATGTGTGTATAAGTAACTTCGTTAAACGTTTATACAAATTATGTTTTTTTTTTTTTTTTTTTTTTTTTTTTTTTTTTTTTTTTAATTTAAATCATAAATTTGATCATGCGATTGTTGAAATAAGTTAAAAAGAATAGTTTTTGATCAGTTATGTTCCAGTCACAAGTGTTTCCCAATACCAAATATCTGGAGGGTCTGTTACACTAGAGCATTCAAGTGTCTATCTACCAATTAGTGTTTCTTCCCAGAGTTTTGTTTCCATTAGCACAATTCGATGCTCCGCGGATATTTCGGGGGTAGTTTCACGAAATGTGGTTATTTCCTTAATCTTTTGAAGGGGGTGGTTGCTTAACGATCCAAAGCTTTCTAATTGTGCTTGGTTTATTGTTTGCACATAGTTTAATGGAGAAGTGTGTAATAGGGTGGATTAAAATGAACTTCCGTTTGGGTTGCCAAAACGGAAATCCAAACATGTCAGATGTGGGGGATTGTGTCATTAGTGCTCTTGTACTTGGCATTAAGCAAACCAAATACTCAAATAGTACCTATTAAGACAAGTTCTTTATCAATCAAATAAAAAATGTTGATGAGTATTATGTTTGAATTGTAACGTGAATTTTCACGTTTACTTGAAGTGAAATTTTTTTGCATCCATGTAAAATTAATATTCGACGTGGGGAGAGAATATATGATCCACGGTTCAAAATGAAATCCAAACATGCACTTGGTGTGTTTGGTTAAAGCAATACTCGGATTCCAAAGTTTTGCTCAATGGAAAAATTATTTGAGTTTTTTCCGCTGAACGGAACGAAATGACAATACAAACATACCTAATGTAATTGGGTGAGAGTTTGGGCTATGGAGCTTGGTTATCGAGCTCAAGAAGTATACAATTTAGTAGCCTCATCATGTCAAAGGAGTAAAAAGGCTTTAGATCTATCACATAGATTGATTACTAAACTCGGATGATATATATCCGTCAGGCCAAATGAGCCAAAGAGGCTTTATATCGATTACAAAGATCAAAGAATAAACTTAAGAGGTAGATAGCTCTCCAGTCTAGAGCCAAATGTGTGGACTTTAGCGACCAGTTATAAAGATTGGTTATTGAACTCGAAGGATACCCAATCTTTCAGCTTAAAGCCAAAGAAATAAATAGGCTTTAGATCAATTAAAGAGATTGATTACTGAGCTCAAAGATACACAATTCTCCAGTCTCAACCCAAAGATGCGAAGAGCTAACTTTAGACAAACCATAAAGATTGGCTACCAAGCTCAAAGAGAACACATCTCTCTAGTCTTGAGCGACAAAAGCGAGATAAAGATTAGCTATCTATCTCAGAAGGTACAAGTTATATTAAGTTAATTAAAATAAGTTAAAAAATAACTTGCAAGAATTATAACGTACTTTTAAAAGCATTCCGAATTAAAATTATAAACACTTTCTTAATAAGTGGGCGAGCCTGATAAGAAGGAAGATGGACTGAGATAATTAATCAGTCTTGCCTAACTTATAAGCTCCAGTTTGATTCTTGAAAAATTTGTTATATGTTATTATTTATGATTAATTCAGATCATCGTAATTGTCGGCTGCATTTGGTGCTCTGTGTCATGTCAATTGTCTCTTATAGTGGAGAAATTCTAATATATTGAAAAGTCAATACTGTAGGTATATTAGATTTGGTACTATTGAAAACTAAATTCAAAGGTTACTATGATTATGCATGTCCCGTTCTATGTTTGTACTAATGCTTACTCATGGTGTATATTTTTATGGTGTTTGTTTAATGTTTATTTTGATAAAATGTATTTTATTTTTATAAATAATTACGAAAATGATACTTTATTTTTACATTCTAATTTTAAAAAAAAAAATTTATAGCAAATAATGAAAATGAAATTTTAGGTTTAATTACTCAAATGATATTTATACTTTTTTTTATACTATGATATTTATACTTGTTAAACTTACAATTGTAAGTTTTAGTTTATGGATGAGCAAATTTAACACCTTTTGATCCCCGTTGTTGGTTGTTTTTTCAGCTTAGTCAGTTTTAGGTGTTCTAAAATTGCCATGAAATGGAAACTTGGGTGTAAAATTAAAGCATAAGAAAAGAAAAAAAAGAAATAGGTGGTGCAGAACTCCCAAAATTAAGAGAGTTAAAATATAATTCAATGTAGTGAATAGTGACTAAAACTCGTTAAATTTGTTTGTGCACGGACTAAAACATATTTTTCATGTATAGGGTCAAAATAGTAAGATTTGGACATGTAATTGAATCAAAATTTTATTATTGTATAAATCCAAAATAAAATTAATATGTTTATAATAATTGTTGAAAGAATAAAAAAAATGTTTTTAAATAAAAATAAACTTGACATTCTCTCCTTATTGGAAACATTTCTTTTTTACTATGGTATTAGTGAGAGAATCCTCTAATTTTATCAAAGTCTAATATCTTTTGTGAGGCTTTAGCTGCATTAATACAATTCCTTTTAATATATTTTTTATTTATCAAATTTAAGATTTAAATTCGAAACTTTGACTATGTTGAAGCAATTTCCTTACTAGAAGTATTTTGTATATAAGAAATATCAATATTGCATTATTTTCATCCCATTAAATATTAATGAGACTTATTAAATATATTAAGTTACAGGTGAATTTAACTAAACAAAGACAATATATTAAAATAAGTAAGCTAATATTCCTAACATACCTTTTCTAAGTGTAATTTTTTTGTTTATAAAAATTATAGTGACACTAATTAATAAGATTATGAACTTAAGATTCTATCTTAATTCCTTATCATCAGGGTGATCATAGCGGTTCTTCTAAGTACAGTTTATATTCTCTTTCCTTTCGTCATGAAAATGAAATCAAATAGAATTCAAAGAAAGAAAAATTTAGTGGGCAAATTAAGCAATTTAACTAGGTTTCAGTTTGAAATTCCAAAAAGATGAAAGTTCTTTGTTTCTTGGATCCCATCACGTGAAAGCTGGCCCAGGCAGAGTGGCATAGCAGTTATTTATGTGCATCTTTCTGATTCTTGCACGCTCAGTAAAATTGGCTATGAAGAAATAAGCCACATGATTCAAAAATCAAATAGACAGTAGTATTTAGCAACGGTGGCTTCTGATCTGCATAAAGTTTGATATGCTACAGATCAGGCAGTGGCAATTCGAAAGCTTTATTTTTAGTTACAAAGTTTCATAAACTATTCCACTAGCAGTTTTATAGGTTATTTTATTCCAATTACACAAAAAGCTTCTGTTTTCTTGGCATGCTGGTAAAGGAATATATGATCAAGTGATAACAATCATAGGGTACCCTTAAACTTGGTCCCTAGGGATACAGAACTTGAGCAAATCCAAGGCTGCAGATGCATCATCGACCATAACATTAATAAAGACACTAATTTCCGAATAGAGGTCCAACATATCAAACATCTTCACTCTCATACTCTTTGGTTTGAATTATGTATGAACAAAATGTGATTATTAAAAAAAAAAATCTATTAAATTAGTCAAAAAAAAATCTTTATGAAGATTGATCTTCAATAAAACTGATCAATATATATTTCATTATAATAATATGATTAAAAAAAAAAATACTCTTCGAAACTAGCATGAGCATAGGGTTAGGAGCTTGGAATTCACCTACCTGATCTAGTATTGACTTTTGATGAGGAGCATTTTGTGAACATACATTTCCTGTATGTGCTGTGAGGAGTGGTCATTAAAGAAAGCATGCCTTTTGTCTTCTCTTCCAATAACATCCCCTTTGGAAAATAATGTTACCTACGCGTGAATTAATTAATGGAGTTGCAATGTTATATATATTTATATATATATATATATATATATATATTTTATATAAA